CTTTTCCTCCCCTTCCAGTGATCTGATGTTCTTATATCCTGCATAGCCAAGGCTACAGAATGGACCTGATCAAGTAACCAAGAGGTCATTTGATACTTCATCTCTCACTGCACATTTCTTCTCATCTCACAACATACTGTGGTGCTTCAGTTCAAACACATGAGTTGGAACAGAGGCTTTTATCCCAGGTTTCCTGGAAAGGGAACTGGTCTTTGAATTGAGTAAAAGCACATCATTCCATGGCCTCTTTGATGCCACGTACTCCTCCGACTTACAGTCTTTAAAGACAGACTTTCTCTGGGATGTACAAAGACCCTTCTGAGTTACCAGCCTATTCCAAGTGCCTTCCAGAAATAGCTGCATTATGGAAGGGTTCCTGCCCACGAACGTCTTTTACAGGAGTCTTTTCTGTTTCCTCAAGCTATAAAGGATGATAGCAGGATACTCTGAGAACTCAACCAGCAGTTGCAGTCTCAGGTAGCTTGCTGCTGTGGCAAAAGTCCTGTGCTTGCCAGAGAGGAGCCCTGTCCTTCTGACATTTTAGGTCCCTCAGATTAAGACTACAGCTGAGAAGATTTTTCATTTTCCAAATCCCCAAGGCCACTCACAATGAGTCTGCTCTTCATTGTGTCACCAAACCTCTGTTAGTCCCATTACATGCAGTTTTCATGACCACTCCATTTTCCATGACCCTGTTTGGAAAGCATTCAACCCCATGAAAAGATGATAAACTGGAAAGAGGGAGAGACATATGGCATTGTGAGAGGGGAGAGAGAGGAACAGGAAGGAAACGCATAGGCATTAAAATGAATGCTGCATGTGGGGATTGAAAGGCTGTCCTCCCACTGGTACCATGATTCTTTGGTACATAAAGGCACCAGAGGCATCTTCCAAATCCCTCTTGTTGCCTTCTCCTACCTGCTTGCATTTCATCAAATGTGGTTGCAATTTTTCCCTTCTGATGCTATGCCAGAAGACCATCTTATCTTGATTAAAATGCTCCACAATACTTTGAAAACAGATAATCTACATCACATGGTTAGTGTTCTATGTCCACTTTGGAGCCCAGGTTCACTGAAACTGGACTCACGTCTCCCTTTCCATTTAGTACAGTGTTAACAACTTGCTGGATCTGTGACAACCCTGAATCCTCCTGTGTTCCCTTTCAGCTACAGAGCTGTACCAGTGAGTTTCAAGCTGGAATAATTACTAGCCATGTCTGCAACTAGCTTGAAAAAACAGCAGCAGGTTACTTTCTCCTGGAACGCTGAGCTGTTAGGCTGCAGCCACCTACAGTCTTTGCTGGTCTGAAAAAGACATCTTACCTAGCAAAAGACGCGCCCAGATAAAGCAACCAGCGTACTGTGTTGTCACCAATTTGTCTGACCATAGTTTTCACATACATTGCTGAACACTCAGTCACCGAAATAATGGAGTTATTTAAAAAAAGAAGACAAACACTGCTATTGTACAGCCTAGTTCAGAGTCCCATATCTTGAGCTGATTCAGCTTATCTGCCTTTCTATACCTTTGAGAAATGTATGTCTTATATCATTTTTTCTCCCCTTCCTCCATATGCCTTACTGCTTTTCCTCTATGTATCTTATCTCTAAATGATGTGCTATTAATCAGTCAAAGACACCCTTCACTGCTAAGTGTTCCTCAACTGATTTTTCATCAGCACAAGTAGTTACTAGTTACAGCATTCCTCCCACATGCTAAAGGCTTGAGGGGGGAGGGAGGAGGGATGGCAAGGAGGTTAGAGACTGCTTCACCACATAAATACTACCTGGGACCTTTATACCAGCCTGCCAGTTTGCTGTAATGATAATGTTGCTGTTTGTTCTCAACGAGGTACATGGTGGGAGGACAGTGGGACTGCACCCTGTCTTATTTTTTTAAGTTACTAACCTTCATGCTCTTCCCTTTTTCTGATTAATCTGGCTGGATGCCTGTTCAGTAGTAGCTGAAGCTTAATACCTGAAACAATGTGTGTATATACACTGTGCCAGTAAGGCTTGCCCAACAAAGCTCATTCTGTCATGTTTTCCCATGCCTTGTGTCAGTATCTCATTTTATATGCAAGCCCCCAGAGCCAGAGGAAGGGATAGGAAAACAGAGAGAGGCAGAGAGAGAGGGAGAGCGATGGAGGGAGAAGGAGGAAAAGGAGAAGGAGAGAAGAAAGTAGGGGAAAAATTACATCCCTCAAGAACGTCAGCTCCTGTGAACTCGCTCACTCCTCACCATGAAACGAGCTGTGTGCGGGCACAGGTGGGTCCCATTCTCCATTACTGGAGAACAGCCTACAAGCGGGGTCTAAATGAAGACTTTCATTGCTGTTCCCTGTTTTCATTGGAGTAAGGCCATCACAAACATTTGCAGGTGGCTTGGCCATAGTCTGACACTAAAATATTTGTGGTTGTGATAAAAATCAGAATATTGCTACAAGATGGTTCTATATAACCTTTAGGGCTTGATCCTGCTCTTACAGAACTAGCTCAATGAGAGTTTTACCCAGTTGCTCTCTGCTGGTTTTATTGCTCATTAAAAGGCATATTCCCTGGCACAATTCTCCATGGTAAAGACTCATCTACCCTTTGGGGCAGCTTCAGATGTTTTAAAAAAAGGGGGGAACCCAACCCAAAACCACTGATTTGAGCACCTCAGAATGTGGGCTCTTTAAAAACCTGAACCATCTCAATGTTGTAAGGCCAAACCAAAACCACCGAACTTCACAGAACTCAAACATTTTCTGAATCTATCTGGATTTTTCTTCCATTGCCTAATATCAAACCCATTGTCCAGTCTGTATTCCTTGTGAATGAGTCTTGGATATAATTCTTAGCATGTTTAGAAGGATAAGATGAAGATAAATGGAAATGACAAGATATGTTCTTTGAATAAATAAAACAGGCACCACAGGGAAAAGACTGAAGGAAAGGAAGACAAACAACAAGGATGCTCAACACTTTGGCAAGTAGATGAAGTCCAAAATGCAGCAATTATCTCCTAGGACACACCATGAACAAAAAACAAAACCTCCTAGGAAGAAGGAAGAATGGGGAACAGAGTATGCTGGAGGTCACACCATAAGTCTCATTCACACACCAACTCACACAGAGACTAAAATCCTGACAATTGCCTCCCAATAGAGCAGCTTTAGACTCAGACTTAGGAAACATTTGTGTGATTCAGTCACAAGGGAGAATTAAGATATGTCATGACAAAGTTTCCCAAACAAGACACTCACCACTGACTAGGAAATAGGCCTTTTTATCCTCAGCCCCTCCAACTTTGGAGATTCTAATCACCATGGCCCCGAACCAACGCAAACCTAAAACCTGACTGACAGGGTCTTGCAAAACCATATGCAGTTTTTTTCTCATTATATAGAAACAATTGTTTGGAAGCCAAGTACAGTCCCATATAAAACACGTCACCACTGAGTATTAAAAGTTGTTTGGGTTTGTTTTTTTTTTGTTTTTAGTTAGGATCATAATTACCACTAGACCTATTAAGTAACAATTTGAACAGAAGCTCAATCATCCTTAACCCAAATAGTGGCATTAGCTGTTTTTCTTTCTAAAATTGGAGAAGAAACTTTCTTCCTCCCTCCCTCTGTCCCAGCCCCCTGTCTGTGAACAGAATGGGACATACATAAGACAACAACTTTCTTGGATTCACAGGCAAATGGTATTGCACGTGAAATCTCAGCAAACACTGTGTTTTGTCAATACATTAACATACACAAAGGCACATCTATCAAATATTTTTACCTTACCCATACTATCAGATTTCTATATCAAGGACCACATCCTGAAATAGTAGTAAAAAGGAAAGTAGAGGAGCTTTGCCAGGAGCACTAAACTGGGGCAGTGGATGGGATCCATGTCCTGTGCATGGCTGGGTAACCCTTACGGAGCGGTCAGTGCCACAGGCCATCCCTGCCACCATGGCACTGGGAGACGGAGAGCCTGTGGTCTATATCCTGCCCCAGTCATCAGGAACATTGAAAGAAGACCCAAGAATAACTGGATTTTGAGTTTTCAATCCCAGGATTTTACTTCTTGGGCTTACTCTGAAGAGACTGCGAGTTGCTCATCAATTATTTAGACAATGACTTGGGACAGAGACTGCTCTTGCACTTATCATATAACGGATGTGACCAAATTACAAATGACAGATAATGAATCTAGACAGCTGCTTCATTCTCAGTCCACTGATTTATTTTTTTTATCCACATATTTTCATACATAAAACCCCCCAAATTCTCAGACTTGTGTGACAAAAAACCTGTACCCTGGGCACTTCCTGTATAATCAAAACCAAGTTTTGTGACTTATAAGGACCTCATGTTCGCTGGAAGTAACTGAGTGTACAAGACATGTATGTTTTGGTACATGCAATTCTCCAAACATGAGCACACAATTGGCATTCAAGCCAATACAATAAGCATCCATATTGTCAATCTATGGGAATAAATATCAATCCATCATCACAAATTGAGCAACTGCTCACAGAGGTGGCTGTGCCAAACTCCATTTATCTTGATGGTCTTTTCATTTTGTCTTCTAGCATTCCTCAATTAAACAGAGTACCTAGGAAATAGCCTAATCCCACTGAGCACCCAGAATTCCCGTTGAAGGAAGTGAAAGGATTAGCTTCAGAAATACTCTGTCTTTCTTCCCAGAGCAGTTATAGAAACAACATGGACTTTGAATGTAAGCAGATAAAAACAAAACACTGGAAGGAGAAAGCAGGACTTCCCTGCAAGTAAAGCACTCTGCACATTTTGAACCAAAGTGCCAGGTCTGGAGTAGATGTAGTATCCTGGCCATTCCCCCACAGTCTGCAATGTGTGTTGCAGGGGTCCTTGCCACATGCTGGCAGGTTCAAGTGCAAGCTCCATAACCTCAAGAACCACAAGGACAACATCTGGTCCCACATGCAGCTGCTGGAGCCCGAAAACTGGAGAAATAAGAAAATGGAAATGGATTTACCCAATCTGTCGATTTGTGGAAGGTGCTTGCGTAATGACCGAACTGGACTGTGGAGACGGCATGGCTTGTTGAATCACAACGCTGGTGTCGTGGTTTGGCATCCTTGTATTTGTCAGCTGGTGAGATCCGGGTCCTGCCATTGCTCCTCCAACTGTGTTATGCATGGAGATATTCTGTGAAAAGAAGGGAAATGGGGGATGATGGAGGAAAATGAGAAAAATAAACGTCTTATCTTGGTTTTGTGTTCTATAGGAATACAGTTAGAAATCTGAAAGTATCAACAATATGAAAAGTTACTGGCTCCTGGTAAATCCCAAGTCAGTAGATCTTGTCGTAACCAACAACAATAAAGAAATGAAAAATAACTATTTACTTTTACAGGGCAATATAAATGGAAAAATACCTGCAAGTTGACTAATCACTCTTCTGTGATTTTGACTCATGATTTATAATGGGGATATTTAGCACATATTCTCCTAACTGAACGCGATATATATTTTGTTTGAAAATTACTTCTGTGGTGAGTGCATAGCACCTTGATTTACTATGTGGGTTGTTTACTGTGTACTAGGTCTGCTTAGACTGACAAGCAAATCAAGTTTTATAGTCCCAAAGCAACAAACAGTACATGGTATGTCACGAACAGCCATTTCTATTAGCCTCCATATATTTTGTAGAGCAATAATATCCCAGAGGCCTAGAATAATAGCACTGCATTTGAACATATATAATCTCTGCTTCAGGTAAGTTGGAACCCTTAAAAAGTTCTTTTTTTTTTTTTTTTTTTTTAAAAAAAAAA